AAAAAAAAAAAAAAAAAAAAGAAAGAAAGGGCAGGGGAAGTTCTATATCTATATAACCCAATGATGATCATATTTATGTGGCTCTGGAGCCGTATCTGCAATCACTATTATCCAGAAAAGCCACATGACGGTGTGTGCTCTGAGGCGTCTAGTACAGTGGTCAATCACACAGGTACTCATCCCTGAATGAACAACTGTTAGGTGTGTTGTAGAAGATCCTTTAAATCAAGGGTCTGTAGCTCCCTACATTTGTGTGTTCTGGTTTGGGGAATATAGTCAGCTCAGAGGGGGAGGAGCTTGGTTAATTGGACCACAGAAGAACCAGGATCATTTGCCCCAAGCACCCCCTGGCTGCAGCCTGTCTAAACATGAAAGATCTAAAGATCTTTAATATTGAATTTATGCTGACACCAGATATGTTCTAATTACAAAAAAAGAGAAAGACACTTTAAGGAGTATAGAAAATTTGGAAAAAAATAAAGAAAAAATTTAAATTATAGTTCTGCTACTTAGAAATAACCATAGTTAACATTTTGGTATATTTCTCTTTAGGCTTTTTCTTCTGGATGCATTTATTTTGCATCGTTGAAATCATATTGTATATGTAATTTGGTGTTCTGATGTCTTCACATTCCTACGTATTTTCCACATAATTAAAATGGAAAGATAATTGTTAATTGCTGCATAATCCTAGGGAGGTATCTCCCTAGAATTATAATTTTATTAAACTTCTCTCTTAATGCTGTTTATTTGAATTGCTTCTTGATATATAGTGTGAATAATGCCATTATGAGAATCTTGCAATTTGGTTTTTCCGTACCTCTCCTAAAAGTGGAATTACTTGGTTAGGGAGTATAAACATTTTAAGGTTTTGATGCATAGCATCCCTGAAAGCCATTTCATTTAGTGACATATCAGATAGGATAAGCGCTATAAAATAGCTTTAAGCTTTAGTTTATAAAAGGAAGTATATACCTTGCTTAGAGATAAAGCCAAAAGCTATTTTAGAAGGCCAAGCTGCATAGCACATAATTCCCTTTTCCATAGATTAGGTAATGGGTTCATGGGTATTCGATATATTATTAATATTTTTTTAAAAGTTCTACTGGACTAGGTTATTTCTAAGGTTCTTTCTGGCTGCAAATTTCTGTTCTTTTGTGATTCCTAAGATCTTTAAGAGTGTAAGATCTAAGACAGAGCCATAAGCCCCTTGAGACACATAGTCGGAATATTTAATGCTGGGCTGTAATAATGTTGGGGGCAACAGGAAAGAAAGACTGGTATCTAAGCAGGCTGGCAAAGGAAACGTGTCTTTGTGAAACAAACACACAAGAAATTCCTAATCTTGGCCAGGTGTGATGGCTCACGTCTCTAATCCCAGCACTTGGGAGGCTGAGGCGGGAGGATTGCTTGAGGCAAGGAGTTTGAGTCCAGCCTGGGCAACAGAGTGAGCCATTTCTAGCAAAAAAAAAAATACCTGATTTTCCAACTAGTAGAAAAAATTATATAGTAGATTACTTGCTCCTTTAGGGGTAAAAATGTCCTAAAGAGAAAGTTGCTTTCTTGAGCAACATTCTAACTTCAAGTTCTTGGTTTCTTTTTGGACTCACAGTAAACAGAATACTGAATTGAAATGGTTTTTTGCTTTTTAAAAAATGGTATTTTTTACTTCTCATTGCCAGAAACGTAAGTTATTACTAAGAAAATGTTTAATTAAAGAAAAAATGTTCATGGATTTTATTTTTCCCTTGTGATGATAATGCAGGGTCTTGGTAAGACTTTACAAACGATTGCTTTGCTTGGTTATCTGAAACACTACCGGAACATTCCTGGACCTCACATGGTTTTAGTTCCAAAGTCTACTTTATACAACTGGATGAATGAATTTAAACGATGGGTCCCATCTCTCCGTGTTATTTGTTTCGTTGGAGACAAGGATGCGAGAGTAAGTGAGAAACAAGTTTAAAATGGCAGTTGAGAATAACGTTATTTCTGGAGCCGTTTAAGTTACATGTTATTGCTGTTAAAGACATCTAAGTCGACTGCTACTAAATGATGCTTAAGTTTTGCTTACTGTAAGCTAGACTGTGTTGTAAGTGCTTTGCATATATTAATTAAATTATCACAACACTCCTATGAGTTAAATGTATTACATATTAATAACAGACAATCCATTATTATACTTCATCTGCATTTACTTTTAACTAGCTCATTAACCTAAGCATTTTTGAATTGTACTTTTAAGTGACTTTCTATAAAAAAAATTTATTTTATTGACAGTGTATCTTATCAGTGACTCTATCATTTGTGCTATTTTGAAGCCAAAAATATGTAAATTTTCATGACTAAAATGTTTTAACTTTTGAATTTTGACTTGTTTTACACATGCACATGTACACATATACAAATGGAACCTCTTCTTTATGTACAGAGAGCCTAGTGTTCTGCGTTTATGCACAGATACAGCTTTTAGTTTTGGTTTTTGAATAGAAAAATACATGTCTGTGTATATTCTCAGGTAATATTAGAAACTGGGCGTTTTAGGCGGAGTGTTTAAATTAGCCATTTGTCAATCTAGTAGGCTACAATTATTTTAGGACTGTAGAATTAATCTAAAAATAATAAATTATGCAAAAATACTAAAATGAATAATAAGCTTAGAAAGAATATTATTAAACTTTGTCTTTATTTTGCCTCCAGAGAGCATAGTTTAGAGTAAAGATTTATTCTGTTTTACGTATTTAGATAGGTTATCAAAAGATATCCTCAAAAGAATAACGGTAGCATAATGAATTATGTAATTTTATCCTCCTCATTTTGCTTGAAGAAAAATTACTTACATTTATTTAAATTTCACTTATAAATAATTTAAATATTGAAATACTGAGCTCATAAATTTGTAATTACAGGCTTGATTCTTCCTTATATCTAATATTTCCCAGTAGCAAGTTAGTCACTTAGAATTCTTTCTGGTCACTGCTGTTGTTTAATGTAATACCATTCCTTATAGAATTTTGCATTTCTAACATACTGATCTTTTGTTAAAATTATTTCTTGAAGATCAAAAGCAAGAGAGAAATATCTGGGCTTGTGTTTTCATAATGCCTCAGTAAAAATGTAAATCCATGGCTTTCAGCTATCTTATATGGAATCTAAGGGTTTCATGGAACAGTATCTCTGGGACTTTTAAAGAAAGCGTGGATGTATTTAATTTACGACTGCCCTATCTCTGCCCCATAGGAGGTTGGGATTCTGGTGGCCTGAAAAATATCAGAATCTTGAAAACCAGTCTTTAAAGTTAATGTTTTTGAAATTGTGAGTCGCCACACATTAGTGGGTTGTGAATTCAGCTTAGTGGGTGGTGACGACAATTTTTTACAACATCAAGAGAGAATAAAATAGCAAATAGTAGAGTTTCATGCTGTAGTAAGGATAAATATTGTTTTGAGAAACTTTTAAGTTGTCTCTTTCTATGTAAATGCACTCAAACATTTATGTGTATACTGGATTGCAATTTAAAATGTAATGCGACTGTGGGCCATGATAAGGAGTTTGAAAATCAGTAATTATCAGTTACATAAGTAATGAATGTACCATACTCAGCACGTAGAGACTGTTGTCAATATGTATAGGGGAAGTCCACATCATTATTTACAGACAGATTTCAATCTTGGTACTACATAGGATAGATATATTGGGTCTTTCTATTTTCCTGGCCTTCTGTAAACATTTTGAGGACAGTGTTTTAGTAATAAAACATTTGATATAGGCTATGGTAGGTATTTAATTAAGTTAAAGAGATTATTAGAGATACTCTTGGTCCTGTCTGATACCAACGTAGTCCTGAAATATATAGAGGTGTGATTCCCAAACATGGTTTTGTGACCCCTTCCTTTTCCACACTAGAGATATCAAAGATAGTGGATGTAGAAACAGATCTGGTTTTAGTTATGGCTTTGCTACTGATTGTGTGATGTTGAGTGAGTCTCAAGGGGCCTTAATTTTGTCACCTTTAAAATGAGAGCTTTTGGATTATGTGACAACTTTAATGTTTTATCAAGATAGTTAACTCTAAATCTATCTATTAATAACAAATTTCAAAGCAAAGCTAATTAATTATTTAATTTGAGGTGGAGTCTTGCTGGGTTTCCCAGGCTGGTCTTGAACTCTTGGGCTCAAGCAATCCTCCCACCTCAGCCTCTCAAGTAGCTGGGATTACAGATGTGAGCCACTGTGCCCAGCTAGCAGAACTAATTAAATTAAAAATTTGCATCTATTCCATGAAACTTGCAGAAGGAACCATCAAATGGAATATCTCACAAAAATCAAACAAGGGTAAGGTGTTAGCAGGACTGAATGGGGCCTGGCACCCTG